GGTGAATTTAAAATAACAAGAGAAATTGTACATAAATGGTATGAAAGTAGTTTTGAATTATGTAAGGTTGTAAGTTAACACCCCTTTATCTACTCAAGGTGTGCCTTGTTAAAACCTTTTCAACCAAAACCCTTTATTTTTTTAGTGGAAAAAAGACTGATGTAGGAAAAAGAGTACATCACCTGAGTTTACATGCTTCAACTGAAATAAAATTTCAAATGAGTCGCGTACCAAGTTCTTGGTAGAGGTTTACCTTTTAACTCTTCCAACCAGTATGCTCCATTCTATAAGCTTTCTAGAACTCAAAAAGTCCTTTCCTAATTTACGGTGAATTTACCATCAAAGGTGTTCTTTGTTGCTTCTCCTTTAGCTCCCCAAAACAAGTCTCCTTCTTTAAAGCATCTCAATTTTAACTTGGAATTATACTTTTGAGAAGCACAAAGTTTGCAAGCTTCTTCCTTTATCTTGTCATTTTCTATAACTTCTTCGAGGAGATCTAGATTATTCATTATTTCTTCACTGTTTTGTGCTTCATTGAAAGTAAGTCTCTTGTGAGATGGTTCATCTACTTCCACCAATATCATGGCATCAGACCCATAGGAAAAGGACCGAGTATCCATTACCCACCATGCAAATGGCCAAGGTGACTACATTTGATGGAGAACCTCTAGAGGGAGTCGATGCAAATTGTCAAACTCTTGGCAATACTTGCATTTATGTATATAGTCTTTACAATTTGACTTCATGGTTGGCCAATATCCAGCTCAGATTATTTGTACAGCCATGGACCAAGCACCAAAATGCATTCCATATATGCCTTTATGAATTTCTTCAACTACATATTTTGCTTGAGTTTTTGTTAGACACTTTAATAGAGGAATAGAAACACTTGTTTTAAAAAGTTCACTTGATTTGATGACAAATTGGCATGACATTGTCTTGATTTTCTTTGCTTCAACTTTGTCATCTAGAAGTGTAGCTTCTTGAAGGTAATTCCATATATTGTTCATCCAATCTTTGCCCACTACTTCATCTACTAAGATGAGTTTGGCTTCAAAACTCGGCGAACTGATGGTTTCCTAAATGATGGTTCTATGTTGTCCTAGGCATTTGGTATTGGCAAGCTTGGACAAGAGATCAACTTTAGTGTTTTGCTCCCTAGAAATATGTTAAATTTTGAACTCGTCAAAATAAGATATTAAATGGGATATCAAATGATAATACCTTTGGAGCTAAGGTTCTTTGATTTGACAAACTCCACTAAGTTATTCTACCATCAATTTTGAATCACTATAGCATTTCACTTTCTTTGCTCAGATGTCTCTTGCCAACCTTAGGCCTGCTAAAAGTGTTTCATATTTTTCTTGGTTGTTGGTAGCATTGAACTCAAACTCCAGAGATTGCTCAAGCATAATGTTGTCTAGTCCTTCTAGTATGATTTCAAATCCATTGTTGTTAACATTAGATGATCCATCTATGTGTAAGATCCACCATTGTTATACTGATTTATGTATCAAAGTGAGTTTAGCCACGAAGTCTACCAAACATTAAGCCTTCAAGGGGCCTTGACTTTCATATTAGATTCCAAACTCGGACAACTCAATAGACAACACTACTATACATCCTGTTAACTCTGGCTTTCTGAGGATTTGCTTTATCGGATACTTTGTCTTAACCACAACCTGATGGCTCTGAAAGTATGGTTCAAGACATCGAGTTGAGGTCACTAGGGTCAATGTTAACTTTTTAATGACTTGGTATCATTTTTCTGTATCTTGTAGAACTCAGTTAATGAAGTAGATAGGAGTTTGCTTTCTGCCTAGTTCTTGCACCATAGCAACGCTAACAGCATTCTCTGCCACTGCCAAATATACCAATAAATTAGGTTGGTGGTTTGGTTTGCTCAAGATTGGTAGAGTTGATAAAAAAAACATTTGAATTTGACAAAAGCTTCTTCACATTGGTTGGTCCAACAAAATTCTCTAGGTTTGAGGAGTAAATCGAACATTGGTTTCACTTTTTCTGCCATCTTCAAAATGAATTTGGAGAGTGATGTCAATCTTCCTGCCAATTGTTGTACTTTTTTCAATGATTAAGGACTTCTCATCTTCATCAAGGCTTCACATTTGTCAAAATTTTCCTTAATACCCGTGTATGTTGATTGTGCGTGTGCATTTTTTTGTATTATTATGTTTTTGTTTATTCTTTGATGATATATATATATATATATATAATATTTTGACTTACAGATGACAGATAGAGGTAGAGGTGGTGGTCGTAGGCCACCTAATCGTGGTGGTAGAGGTTATATTCGAGGGAGAGCTCC